TCCTGTGGTCCCAAACCCAGACTCCCTCCAGCCCCTGGCTGCACCTAGAAATTATGTCCATAAAGATAATGAACAGAACGGGTGACAAAGGGCAGCCCGGCTGGAGTCCAACATGCACTGGAAACAAGTCTGACTTACTGCCGGCAATGGAAACCAAGCTCCTGCTCCATCGTACAGGGACCGGACAGCCCTTAGCAAAGGGTATTATGGTTGACATTATGGTTACTCCTCCTTGAACCGCTACCTTTATGTAGTGGAGGGGTTTGAGTACCCAAATGATCCTAGGTGCTATGTTGTCGGAGGCTATATGCCCCTGGTAGGGTCTCCCAAGGCAAACAGGTGATGGGTCAGACTAAGAGTGGTTCAAGACCCCCTTATGAAAAGATTAATATCAAGGACCGTGATGTCGCCCAGGTATGGCGCAACCGGGGCCCCACCCTGGAGCCAGGCCCGGGGTTGGGGCTCAAATGCGAGCACCTAGTGGGCGGGCCTCTTCCCATGGGGCCCAAACGAGCAATGTGGGGACATCCTCCCGTGGGCCTACCACCTGCAGGAGGATCCATAAGGGGCTGGTGCATAGTGGCTCTTCTGTGCTAGTCACAGTTTGTCCATAACAATCACATGTTCAAGCATAAGGGTGTCCACCAGTGCGCGTGGCACCAGGACATCCTAGGCCAGAGGTTGATGATCGACTTTGTGATTGTTTCATTTGACCTCTGGCCATATGTCTTGGACACTCGGGTGAAGAGAGGGGTGGAGCTATCAACCACCTGGTGGTGAGTTGGATTCGATGGCGGGGGAGGAAGCTGGACAGACTCAGCAGACCCAAACATAATGTGAGGGTCTGTTGAGAACGTTTGGCAGAACCCCCTGTCCGGGAGATCTTTAACTCCCACCTCTGGCAGAGCTTCGACCAGATCCTGAGGGAGGCTAGAGACATTGATAGAGTGGCTAGAGTGGACCATGTTCTTCACCTCTATTGCTGATGCGGCCACTCGGAGCTGTGGCTGTAATGTCTCTGGTGCCTGTCATGGCAGCAAAACCCCAAACCCGTGGGGGACACCCGGAGGAAAGTTCATTCCCAGCCGCTTCACACTCAGCTGCAAACTGCCCCAGTGCACGCTGGAGGTCCTGGTTTGATGGAGCCAACAGGACAACGTCATCTGCAAAAAGCACAGACGAGATCCTGAGGTCCCCAAACTGGACTCCCTCCAATCCCTGGCTGCACCTAGAAATTCTGTCCATAAAAATAATGAATAGAACCGGTGACAAAGGGCAGCCCTGCTTGGAGTCCAACATGCACCAGAAACAAGTCTGACTTACTGCCAGCAATGCGAACCAAGCTCTGCTCCAGGCGTACAGGGACCGGACAGCCCTTAGGAAAGGGCCCAAAACCCTGTACAACCGGAGCACCCCCCACAGGGTGCCGCGAGGGACACAGTCAAATGCCTTCTCCAAATCCATGAAACACATGTGGACTGTTTGGGCAAACTCCCATGAACCCTCCACCACCCTGAAGAGGGTATAGAGCTGGTCCAGTGTTTCGTGGCCAGAACGAAAACTGCATTGTTCCTCCTGAATCTGAGGTTTGACTATTGGTTGAATTCTCTTCTCCGGTACCCTGGCATAGACTTTCCCGGGGAGGAGTGTGATCCCCCTATAGTTGGAACACACCCTCCGGTCCCCCTTCTTGAAAAGAGGGAC